ATTTTAATTCATTTATTATATTAACAAAACATTTAATTTGCTTTTCAAATAATGGATATTTTATACAAATCACAACATTTTATTCTCAAATAAATTATTCAAAAAATATTTCTAGGAATTAATATAAATATTAAATGCATATTATATTTGTCGTGCATTTGACTCAAAATATCCAAATATAGCCAAAAGATTTCTATCAAATGTACGGGTATTTCAGGAATATTGAGTGTTTATATATATTGCAAGAATATTTAGTATTACGTATGTTATATACCGTTATATTTCATGTCTTTAAGCCAAATATGGATAAAAGATAACAAAAATAGTGAAGAATAAGTAGAGGAGAAAATCTAGTGAACAGTTATGTTCAGTACTAATACTCTGACATTTTTGCATTTACTTAACACTAACTCTCGCGAGACTTCTAATCCATGTGAGCAAAAAGCTAGCGATAGATCGGCAAAAGATTTAGCCGACTATTAAAGCAATTTGTTAACAACCGATTGGTTTAATAATTTTTTCTCTTTTTGGTCTCTAAGTCTCAGTCAATTATACGATCATAACTTACTTTACATTTGAACAAATCCTAACCTTTTTAGGTCCATAAACACTACACTTTATGACATTTGAGCGCTCAAGTAGTTTTGCTCTCAAATATTCTGTATATATTGCCGATATTTTCTTGTGTATCAAAAATTCAATTCACTTTTTCCCAAAAATAAAAAAGTTATAACACTTTCACATTTCATTACAATTTTCTAATTCTTTTAAAGTATTTTATTTTTGTTGTAAATATTTCTTTTTGAATTCACGCCTAATTTCCTTTTGAGGCCATTCTCTGTCTCTTTCTCTCATCGCTAAAAACTTTCATCAATTCTTATGAATGAATATTTTTGTCAATTGTATTCATATTAAGCGGATTGAAATGTATATAAAAATAAAATATTAATAGCTTTTAATACTATTTTAAAGAAGTATACGTAAAGTACTTATAGCACTGAAAATAATATGTCTTAACGCGAGAATATATAAAATATTTCTAATAAATTATTAATTGTAAACATATTTATGACATTAAATATGAAAATATTTTTAGAGCAAAAGTATTAATATTATAATAAATTCAGCGGAGATTTAGCCGACAAATGGAGTCAAAACGAGTGGGTGTTATGTGTAAATAGTTTGAACATTGATTGGCAAACCTGTCTGTCCTTTGCCGAGAGTCTTCTCGAGCCGATAGGGGCCGACATACTGGTAGGAGTGCTGGTGTCCGTCTGTATTGGGTCCGTCACGTCCGCACGACATCCTCACTAATGTATGTGTGCGGTAAGCACTGGCACCACATCTAATGTATTAACACACATACCATTTGTGTCCACAATTAATATCGTAAAACATTTAAATACTGGATATTCCTCTAATTAATAGCATCTCAGGTCTGACGCCATTCGTAACAAATTCCGTATAAATAGAGTAGAGATTTGTATATAAAACTCAAACCGAGTTGTGCTGAGTATAGCCTACAAACACAGCATCCAATACTGTATATCCAATACTAGATTAGTCTATGTTTTGCTTTAGTCTCGAAAATTTTCTGCGTTAAGAGCATTGCGTTTATGACTGCATTCAATGCCTTCACAACCAATATATCGATCCATTCATACAATTTCTATTGCGTTATAACATAGCGTTTAGAGCATAGATCCCAATGACAGCACTTCCACCTATAGCTCACATCTTCAGTCCTAACCATCGATCCATACATTGCTTCACCAAATACTATAAATTACGGATTCATTTCAAACCACACATTCATTGCCACTAATTATTTCATTTATATATAGTTTAAATAATATTAGTTATAACTTTTAATTTCATAGCAGAATATTCTATAAATATTAATTCTTTATAAAGAATTTACAAATTTTATTTACAGATGTAATCTATCATAAAATTAAGCATGATTATCAGTACTCCAAAAGTAAACTATATAATTTATATAAAAATATTATAAATAATACAATCAATACACATTATAATGTTGTAATTTAGAAATTAAATAAATTTTTACAGACAATTAGTTTTATTGAAAATAAATACTAAAACATTAATTTATTAAACAATTCATACATTTAATTTACATACAGTAATAGTTTTCAAAGCTTAATGGACTTTAATTAAATTAAAATTATCTATATAACAAAAGGCTAACCATGATTAAATTGAATATTTACTTAACAATTAATAATAATTGTATAATTAATTAAATCTGATTAAACATAGTTCAAGCGATACGTGATTTGTGAATGACTCCAATGAATGTATTGACAGTGAATTGAGTCCACGTTTAAAGACTTTTAAACACTTTTATAAACAAAAGTTTTAATTAATTTTAATTGAATTGCAATTCAAAAAGTGATGGAAAATATATTATCGTTGAAAGGGTTGAGCGAAAGGATCCGTTCACTCGATGTCTACCCAAAAGTGTTGGAAGACTTCCGGATTAAGACATTCGGCGGCGCGACAGGTGTTGTCATTCATTTGATCACTCATTTGATCCATTGATTGTCTAATGAATTCACTTTGTTTTTAGTGACAATAATAAGTGGTCTCATAATGTCTGTGCTCTTCATATCTGAACTCAACTACTATTTGACGCCCGAATTGAGAGAAGAGTTATTAGTGGACGTCTCGAGAGGTGACAAATTGCGGATCAATTTGGATGTTGTCTTTCCGCACATTTCGTGCCACTTCTTGGCCATCGACGCCATCGACGTGTCCGGCGAACAGCACATCAATATAGAGCACAATGTCTTCAAACGACGGCTCAGTCTTAAGGGAGAGCCCATCGAAAAGCCCGAGAAAGACAATACAATCGGCTCTTCCAACAGAACTAACAAAGAGTTAGTGAAAGCAGTGACGGAAAGAGTGACCACAACTACGTTAGACCCGAACCGGTGTGAGAGCTGTTACGGCGCTGAGAACGAGCGCCGCAAGTGTTGCAACTCATGCGATGACGTGAGGATGGCTTACAGTGAGAAGGGTTGGGGTCTCAACAATCTGCAGGACATCCTTCAGTGCAAACGCGAAGGAATGAGCGAACGATTGGACAACTTTGACAAAGAGGGCTGTCAGGTGTTCGGTTACGTCGAGGTGAACCGAGTGGGCGGTAATCTACACATAGCGCCCGGCAAGAGCTTCACCAAACACCACATCCATGTCCACGACCTGAGTCTCAACGACTTCCAGCGTTTCAATTTGACGCACAAAATACGTCACTTGTCTTTCGGGCGGACCGTCGCCGGCAAAACCAATCCATTGGACGGAACCGTTCAGATCGCGGCCGAGGGCTCAATGATGTTTCAGTATTACATCAAAATCGTGGCCACAGTTTTCGCCAAAGCGGACGGTCAGACACTGCAGACCAATCAGTTCGCAGTGACCCGACATCGGAAGCCCATTCAGGACACGTTGACTGAGTCGGGAATGCCGGGCGTGTTCTTCATCTACGAGTTCGGACCCGTTATGGTTAAGTACAGCGAAATCAACCGATCGTTTATGCATTTC